GAAAATCATTAGATAACAAAGCAGGGTTTTATCAGAAGGAACTACACTATATATAAAAAAGTATGGGGAAACCCCCTTCAAATGAGGAATTGGGGATATTTCACCCGACCCCCCTTTCCCTGACAGGTGTATAGAGGGGTATGGCAAGTAGAATGGCCTTACTGAAGGGGCTCAGCGATTTTTAAACGTGGAACATGGGACCCCACCTTTCCAAAAGTATTTCGCCCAAATTGCGCCCTGCTAGAGTTTCCCCCGGGCATGAAAAATGCTTTTATGGTTTTATTTGGGGGGAAAAGTTAGGGGGGCAACAAGGGGGCTCACCGAGAAGTCTTTAGGCCCCCCAAGCGCACCAAACGGGAAAACCGCCAAGGCTAAAAGCATGTAGTGGAAAAAAAATCGTCTGTCCTCGGTTGAAACACTCACTCCCAAAAGTTCCAAATCCCCCTGGAAGCAATGTCAGCACAATAACTTTTTGGGGGGAGCTTAAATGAAAAAAGGGGTTTCCCAGGCTGAGCCACCCCCAAAAACCCCTAAAAAGGGGGAAAAAAGCTTTTCTTGTAGTGATGAATCATGTTTCCAACCATCGGGTAGTCTGAAAGAAAATTTTTGGGTTTGGCAGACCAAAGAATGCTCCCTTTTCCCCTATCCCTAGGGGCCCAACTGAAAATTTTGGGTGGAGGAGGATAAGGGTTGGTGTTTTTTTCATGGTTCGGGGCTAGGCCCCTTATTTTCCGGGGGGGAAAATCAAAAGCAAAACAGCATCAATAATATTTAGCGATTTTTTTGTTTCCAACTTTGTGGCAACATTTGGGAAAAAGGGCCCCTTTTCCCTTTTTAAATCTTTGTGGCTAAAATGGAAGCACGTCCCCCACAGAAATTTTCCCAAACTTCCCTAGTGGAAACCCTTCCCAGAAGAGTGGACTGTTTAGCAGAAAAAGGGGGGGGCCCCAACTCCATTTTAAAATCCCAGATTTTGGAATGAGATTTTTCGACAAGAAGGGTCCACATACTTGTCATGTAGTGTTTTCTTTTCCCCGATGTGCAATCAATGAAAGCATTACTAAAGTTTATTTCAATACCTCAAGTATGTGCAACTGAAGTTTAAATCTATTTCTGTAAGTTGGTTTTTTTTTTAATTTCAACAGGGGGGTCAAATTTTTAAAGTTTATTAAATTTAAAATTTTTGAGTTTATATACCAATTTTGGGGTTTAATTTACAAAAGGTTTATTTTAAAATTTGGGGAAATTTTTCAGTGTTAGTTTTTTGGGGGATTTCAGTCATCTTTGAAACTGGGCCTTTAAAATTTTTGGGAAAACTTTGTGGAAAAGATTTAAAAACTTTAGTTAGTGCCCTCCTTTTCCAAAAAACTTTTAAAAACACCCCCTCAAAGGGTAAAACACTGACTGCCCAAGCAGCAGGACTTACGGTTTTTTAAATTTTTCCCGAATAAATATCCCTTTTCAAATACATTCAGACAAAATAAAGGGCAAAAATAGTGAATTTTACAGCATATTTAAACACGATATTTAACTTTTTGTCTGCATAATTTAAATCTAAAATTAATTTTCATGAACAAAATTCACTTATCAATAGGTTTTTGCTTAGTTTCCCAGGGTGTCCTGGTGCCAATGACATTTTAGTTGGGCCCTCAACCCGGTCTGTTGCAGCCATCTAAATTTTAGTGACTTATTCCACACATCTTCTAAAGGGCACCCTATATAAGGTTTAAAATACCAGATTTCATGGCTCCCCTTTTCCCTTTTGGGTTTTATGTTCTTTTGCCCTGTTTTTGATTGGTGCCTTCTTTTGGTGTGCGTGGTGACTTTAATGAAGCAACTAATCATTCTAAATTCATTCGAAAACTAATTATTGAGTCATATACCAAATCTGGAAATCAATCTGATTAATGGTTCAAAGAAAAAGATTTTTGAAATAAACTTTATCATTGCTTGTTCTAACTTGCATCTATAGGTTTCAGTTTGGGGCCCTATTTGAATGCCGCAAATTCTTGCTCAAAACCCTTAAAAATGGATTCATTTATTCAAAAACAAAAATTGGAGTGGGAAACGGGCTTAGGTTTAAAAGGAAAGGAAAAAATTATTGCAGATGATTTTAGCATTGGTGTTTTTAAAAATGCAAAGAATGAGTTTTTAAAAGTTTCCTTTTTTTTTAAGAAACAATACCCCAAATTTAATTTTGGTTTTTTTAAAGGGGCGTCCCCTGAACGCAATTACAATTTTCCCCGTTTAAAGGGCCACTGTGGAAATGGGTTTTTCCGTGGTTTTAATTTAGACTTAAAAAACATAAATTTTTTTTTTTGTTTAAAAACTCAGCCATCTTTTGACCAAAACCGGGGCTTTTCCCAAAAACTATGTTAAGACAAATTATGGGGCCCTACATTCCCCATTATTCATTTTGTCCTTTGTTCAGGAAATAAGCTTTTGATTTATTCAGCATATTTTTTAGCATTTCTGCATATGGGGGGAAAAAAATACAAAAATAAAACAAAACCCCTCAACTCAGATAAAAAAAAGAAAAAAAAGAATCTCTGATTTGCCAAATGCACCTTTCTGGTGGCCAAACCTTTTTGAAGAAACAACATAAAACTTCAAAATTTGGGAGTGAATTTAATTTTAGTCCATGAATTTATTTTTTTGAATTTTTTTTAAGCAAATTTGCTTTCATATCCAAAAAAATTCATTGTTTTTAAACGTTTCCTTTTTTTTAAAATCAAAGCCCAAATTTTGGTCAGGGCTTTATGACTGTTAAAAAATTTCAGGTTTTAAGCCCTGGTGGGGGGATTCAAAAAAGATTTAAATTTGACAAACCCCAAAAACAGATTTCCTGATGTATTTTTAATAAACCCGGGCCTCCCTTTTAACCCTCCCTTGCTTTTTTCAAACTAATTAAGAGATATAACCATTTTTGGCCCCCCCAACCCCCCCAACCCCAAAAGGGGTGTAAATTTTGGGTAAGGTTCATGAGAATACGTTTTTTAAAGTTTAGGGAACAAATTTTTAAAATGGAGGAAAGGGCTATTTTAAAAGGGCGTTTTTGGGTCCAAACTTTGGGAAAATTTTTCAGCATTAGGGAAAAAACCCTTGCAACAAAGTTTCCCAATTTTCTAGGGCAAAACCCGGGGGATGGCCCATGGGGGTTTAAGTGAGACTGTTATAACATGCCACCTAAAAGGCTAATCAGTGTTAATTTAAATTGGGCCAAAACGTGTAATTTTTATATGCCGGATCTCTAGGGAAGACGCATCATACACCCAATTTTTGGGTTTAAAACCCGGGGATGGTTTTCCCCAGATATTGGGTGTGGCTAAATAATTTAAAAGAAAGACTAACGTGGGAATGGACCCGGGACAGATCCACAGTCCCCCTTTCCCGGTTTCAACCTTTTGGGGGGGAATAATAGTAGAATTTCAAAAATAAAAATTTAAAAATTTTTGCTTTGAACCCATAATAACAAAATTTTAGGTTTTTTTGTTTTTAAAAAACTGTTATTTAAAGGGAATAAAATTACTGCCAAAAAATTTTTTTAAAAAATTGTACAAAAATACTGGGGGGGGAGCAATTCAATTTTGGGGGGATGGATTCTACAAGGTGTCGGGAAACGTTTCCCAAAGGGGCGCTGGCCCCCTTTTTTACTTCCCAACTTCCCACGTTTGGGGAAATTGGGGATTCCCTTTTGGGGGGGGGAAAAACTTGGGTACCCCATAGAAAAATGTTGACATGAAAAACCCGCAGTGGGGGTTTTAGTTCTTGACCAAACCGGTGGGGCCCGGGGCCCTGGGTTTCCTACTACCATTTCCCCTTAAAAAGGGACTTAAAAAATTTTGTCCCTTTCCCAATTTCCCCCCTGAAGGCAAAACATAAACATCCCCTTTTCAAATTTTCTCAAAGGGGTTAAAAATCCTTTTTTACCTGTTTTCCTTTCCCCCTTTATCTATAAAGATTTAAGTGGTTTTTAAAAGGTACATCAATAAGGGGTCAAAACTTTTTACCTGGATTTACCGGGGCAGTCTTTTGTCATGGAAAGAGCAGGGGGTTTTTTAATGTTTTGTGCAATCAGTGTAAAGACTGAATAGATAAGCAAAAATGATTACAAAATTTTAAAAACAAAAAAGCTCAATTTCTTGTCATTGGTGTTTGTCACTTCAAAGAAATTGGGCAGTTTTGAAAACATAAAAACTTTGTGAAGTAGGGTCCCTGTGGCAAATGGCTCCTTGGAGGAGCAGCTTTAATGGAAGAACATGATGAGTCTGCACACTCTTTAATATATTACTAATTTAAATTTTTGGGTAATTTCATGTGTCTAAGTCCAATGTCTTGGTGTTCGTCATCTACAAAAAGGGAAAAATATAATTATGAAAAAACATAATAAAATCACACAATTCAAAGAAGTTGTATGGTTGATGAACTTTTGTTTGAGTGACTGTGGCCTTTTCCGTTCAATTTTAAGCTGGTGTTACTGCCTCCACACTTTGTATTACTGCTCTAGCTAGTAACACCAGTGACTATCATTAACAGCACTTTCCTTTTTTGTCTATGTAAGTTTATCAAGTTCCTATAAAATGCTATCAACAAAAATAAGCATGAAGTATTGTTACAGTATCTTAACCAAATCCTTTTGTGTTATTTTTGTCAGGTGTGGGCCACTAAGTGCAGCAGAAAAGCAGAAGCTATACAACAACCCTTTTTTTATTTCAGTTGAGTGCTGGGAGAAAGTGTAAACATATTCTTTGGGTTTGAAGTTGCTTTGGAATAATAATGTGTCAAGTCATTGTTGTTACATTATTGGGGTTATTGGGGTTTTCCATCTTATTTTTTTTTTTTTTTTACCAACGTTATTACACATTTATTGAAAAGAAAATATATTAAGGAGAGAATTATTACTTTTGATGTAACTTTTTATTTCTCAATGAAGAAGACAATTATTTCCACACTGAGGACCACAGCATGTGTGAGGCTGCGTGTTGGTGCTGATTGGTCCTTTAGGGGTACTTCTCGGACAGAGCCAGGGCCAGGAGGGCCAAGAACTTGTCCACGGCAACATAAATCTGAGGGGTGAACTCCTCGGCGAACAGCATGGACAAAACCACCAGGATGCAGTGGGACGGATCTGACGAGGGACAAACGAGCTAAGAGTCAGTACTTTGATTATCCTGAAAAAAGTGCAATGGGGCCTTCTGCAAACGCTTAGAATAGGCATAGGCTACTACTACATTGCCCATACGCCTATAGCGCATTATGGAACATTGGCTATGTTGTGGTGTAATTACTTTGAAGTTGACGGGGTCAACTCTAAGCATGAAGGGGTGCACTCGCTCAGGTCAGGGGCCACCAGCTAGGTCATCGATCTTGCTCACGGCCTCGTACACGCCACCCATGACGGTGATGCCGTGCTTCCTAAAACCGGAGCGCCTTTGGGGCTAGGTCCTTCCAGTGGGGGAAGTAGGACTTGGTCTGGGGGGACAAACCCACGATCAGCCTGAATGGAGGAAAGAGAGAAATGATTGGTTTAGTGGTAATGGTCTGTCCGATCATATAATACTCAGTATCAATAACATTTTTGTTACTTAATAAGGATGCATTTCCATCCATCAATTATGCAGTACGCCTACGCTGATGATAAAGTCCCTCTTGCACATCTTTACACCCTGGCGAGAGCCTCAGCCCTCGGGCGCCTATCCTCGGAGAACCTGGGTGGAGGACCTTCTCAGAAGTCCTTGACGATTAATTTTTCTTAGCTGACAGGCTCATTAGTTGACTAAAGGCTCTTGTTTGTACCACACAAGCTATTCAGAGGGGTAAATTAAGCTTGGTAGAAGGGTCTGAATTTAGACGACCCTGACACCTCTTTTATGTTCAAGACATTTCACCAACCCCACCTCTACCTTGGTTTTCATTGGCTATGAGAGATAATTGAGTAAAATATAGTTAGAATAGAGCAATCGATTTCTGTGAATTTTAGGGGTGTTGTCTTGTGTTATCTCTTTTTCGGCTATAATGTAGCACCAGCAAATATATATGCGTTTGCAATAGGACTTCTAAGAGTCAAACCAATGCTGGCAGATGGCCGCCATATCTATCGGAGATAAAATATAGCCTGAGAAACAATTTCTCTAAAAACGTCCCTTATCTTGAAAAGAGGGACTCATGTCTTACGATGAACAGGGTATGATGGTTTGTATGGATATAGTATGGCATGTATGATTAGTGTTTCCAACATGATGAATGAAAATATTGCTTTCTATTTGACAATGAGTAAATATGACAACGGGGTGGGCTGTTTCTTATTCAAATAAATCCTACTTGCAACTCAATTTCTATACGTTATAAAATAGTGCCTCAATGACTTGTTGTGACTTGATATTTAGCATTCTGGTTGGTGGTGCGAGACAGAATGACACCACCATTTCGTCGTATGTTTCTCAACGATATACAATGATTTCGGAGAATGAATAACCTGATAAAAGTTGCGCTATAGGGGCATGAGAAATTGGATGTCACTTTCTTTGTCATGTCAGTGGTGTTATGTATGTGGGCATCAAAAGTATTATAGGTTGGCTTGCGTTTCCTGATCGATGGGGGCGAATGTTCGCGTTGGGATATGTGAGTGGAGGTGTGAGAGTCAGCTGATGTTCGGGGGTGGAGATGTGGCGCACACTGGCGAGACCTTATGTTTTCATGCTATTGGACTGCTTTTCTATGTAAAGAGGAGATTGGTAGTAGGAGGGGGGGGGCATATGGTGAGGCGTTGTGTACGTGCGCATAGAAGAGTGTTTCTGCATGGATGCTTGTGGGCCTACTTTAGTTGGGGTGGTGTGAGAAGGCTACGGCTGAGTAGGGGGTGGGTGCCATTTTATATTCTGACACCCCGATTTGCGGATCGGTGAGCTGGGGAGGGTGGGGGGGGGGTGCGCCTATCGGCTTCAAAAGGGAAAGGGGGGACAGGAACAGGGGGTGACCGGTTTGCGGGGGGTGCATATGTGTCGGAGAGGCACTGGTAATGATTCGGCTCAGGGTGTAGGGTTGTCTGGGTGTGTGGAAACGTGAATCGGTGGCACCCCTTATAATACGGAAAAATGGACCGGGGACTATGTGCCAGGCAACACGGAGAGGTTATGAGAAGGCTGGGTTGCAGTTTGCCTGCCTAGAGAAAAGGCAAACAAGACTAGCTTTTGCTAACTGTAAAACAAGTGGAGGTCAAGGCAATCAAACACACGGAAAACAATCTGACAGTGGATTCAACATTTTGGAATTCTTTTTTACTTTGGATAGTCAATAGGACACAGCTACAGTAAACTCTGTCATATCAGGTGTCACTACTTTTGACAAATGCTGATTAACTGTTTAAGACTCAAACGACAATAATTATATATATATTGGGTGGGGTTTTTTAAATGAAATTGCCATATCCTCCATGATCTTGATGTTTGTTTTTTATGACCCCTTGTTCTTAATTAGGCAATAAACATGGTCACTTCAAGTTTTTGTTTTTTGGTACCTTTTTAAATGTGTTAATAGTCATATGAATGTGTGTCGACGTGTTTTACAGCAGCCAGCAACAGTATACAAGTTCAGAGCCGGGTCAACCTCTGTAGGCTGGTTATACAATGTGCATCCATCACCAACTTTTCATGTTGGCTAATGTTTATTATAAATTGTTTAAATCTAACATCATATATAAAAAACATTGGAAACCTTTAAAGTTGTCTATTATATTCGCCATGCTTAAGTTGCAATTCGTCTAGGCCTATATATAACTGATACATGACGCACACAATAAAAATAAAACAAATCAACAAAAAAACCAAGATGCTTCTATACTTCTTTTTATTTTTGTCATTGAGGAGTGAAACACGTCTCCTCTGTCAGGTATGGAGGACTGACCATTGTATTGGCCCCTCCCAGACAGAAACCACCACAACAAGAACTTCTGTAAGGATGCCTTATACTCGGGGGTTAAGCGTGCCCATCTTTGCGGCGATGAACGATGGTCAGAACAGTCAGACAGCAGCTGTAAAAGTGACAAACCACAACAGAAGTGAGACGTTTAGAATGCCTTTGGGGGTAGCTTGATCGGTGGTGTATTACATAATAATGTTATACCTTTGCACGCTTAAAGAAGTGCCCTTTCAATGTTCATTTGTATCTTAACGACCCTGAGTTGCCGGGAATCTACCGAGTTTTCTCGGAGTGGCAGAACGCCTCAGGATTCGGCTAGGTGTTTCCTGAGTCATCCATTTCTTCAGAGCTCGTTCCAGACTTTGCATGATCACCGTGGGCCGTGCTTACGATTCATCAGGGTTTTCATATGATGTGGCCTCTCGTCTGCGTTGGGTAACAAGGGTGGCCGAGCCCCGAAGGTTACCATCTGGTTCCAGGGGGTAAACGATCCGAACACCTGAGGTGATCGAGAAAACGAGTGTGCGGCATGAACAACGGAAGATACATGACGAAGAAGAAGGATATTATGGGACGGTACACTCACTCCAAATTAAAGTAAAGCTAAGCTTCTTGTCTTACCTTGACATGCACTTTTGGCCAACGTTCGTTCCATAGTCTAATCTAGCTTGGAAGAAGATGTCGGGAGATGGCTGCGCGCCTCTTATCTGTCCACACAACCATTTTGCTCGTGATAGATTTAGGCTTAGGTTACTAGTGAGAATCAGAATTATAACATAGTATTCGTGGAAAAATCGTTTTAAATTTTTATGGTATTTTTGCACTCCGCCACAAGACGAAAAAGTGAATGTTTATTGGTTGGAGAACCCATATTTAGTAAGACATTGTTGAACATGTTTAACATTGTTGATTGAATGGGCCCTCGCTTTAGGAACTATAGGCCTACTATCAATTGGTTTAACCGTGAAACCATTCGGGGAAAACCATAAATCGAATCCTGACGGTAACCTGCGACATATCGGGGTAAGCCTAATGCAGTGCCTATTGTTATACATTTCTGTTCTACTCTCCAAATATAGTCCTAATTTCACCATAATTTTGGTATTTTTAATAATTGTCTTGTCCTTTGAATGACTTCCTGCATTTGCTACTCATTAAAGTCACGAATGTCTCTTTGAAGCGCAAAGAAAGTATGTATGCACTGGCATGGCAATCCATAGCCGTCCTGATGGGGTCACTTTTTTCATCCAGTGTCTGAAATAACATTGTGTAAAGATTTCTAAAAGTCAGGACCTAATAATTTTCGTTATTTTCATTTCTATTAATCATTTTTTTATATGGTATATGGTAGTTTCGCTTACACTTTGATATTTATTTTGTGTAGATTGTTTGACAAAAAAAATGCATTTAAATGAAGTTTGAAATAAGGGCAATGGGCTGTCATTTCAGATCAATTTGTGCCATCGTTTGTGATATTTCCAAAGGAGTATTAAAAATAATCCCCCGAGCACCCTCCGCTCGCACACCACTTTCCCTGAACTAACACTCTCCCCCACCCCTTTAGCACTAACCGTGCTGGATATTATTGAGGAAAATGTACTTAATAGACTGTGATATGTGGCTTGACCCACCTCATCTAATCTTACGATGAATGCCCAACTGGTAAATCGCTCTGGAGAGTAACAGCGTCCGTGCTAATACTACAATGTACAATGTCAATTAAATGAAAGGCGTTACAAATAAAATGTTAGTTACAATCCCGAAATTGGGACCAATCTTCTGACGCGTTTCTGCAACACAACATGCATCTGTGTAAGATTCATCATTAGTGACTCCACATTCTCTCACTTTAGGGGAGTGGGGGTAAATTGATCATTTATTCTGTTCTTTCCAAAAAAAAGTGGTTTTTCGGGTTGACAAAGCAAACGGGTTAGCCCCGAGCATGGACCGGTTAACATTAAAGCCCTCCCCTACCATTTCTGTACTGAATGAAATATTGGCCAATACCTTTCTAAACGCATGTCATCTTATTTCCCAATTAAAAATCATGAGCGTGTGGGCGCACACCCAGATAACCATTATTTGTGGTAGGAGATGCTGACTAACGGGTAATTAACTGGAGTTATGGAAACAAAGAGAGTCGCACACTCCAGATGGTGTAATAACCTCCCATTAATTTAATTGTGTAAAAAAACAGTGATGCAGAAACGTTTTGGTGTTTTTGTACCCAATAAATTACTGGGAGGTTTTATACATCGGAGTGTGTGACTCCTTTGTTTTGTATAGCTCAGTTGTGTATAGCAGGACGCTTGCAACGCCAGTATGTGGGTTTTCGATTTCCCACGGGGGCCAGTATTAAAAAAAATGTATCACTCACTACTGTAAGCCTGCTAAATGCTAGGAAATGTAAACGGAACAAAAACCCACAAATCAAAATAGTTTTTTTGGTCTTGAATCCTTTTAAGTGAAGAAGCGGGATGTTTAACAACAGGCTTTAACACCTAACAAACACTTTGTACTTTTTGAAGAACACTACTGTTACACATAGACCAGGCCCTGTTTGTTACCTCAAGTCATAATGTATTGCCTTAAGTGGCTGAGAAGAAACACTAAATATCCTTAGTTTTCGGGTTGGCTCAACTTTGCCTCAATTTGGAGCCCAGTTGGCCATTGGCTCACTTTACTCCAATGCAAACATTTTTGTCTATTGCGGTCCCCTGTGGCTTCAGTTGGGGTAGAGCACGCAGCGCTTGCCACGCTAGAGTTGTGGGTTCGTTTTCCCACGGGGTTTCAGTACGGGAAAAAAATATGAACTGTATGCATTCAACTACTGTAACTCGCATTGGATAACAGTGCCTACGAAACTTAAGGACCCCACACAGCTACAAGTAGTGCTTTCATGGCTTAGGGTTTTTAGTACCCCATTTTGAAGCTCATAGAGACCGCCCAGGATGTACATCAATCTTAAATGATCTCCCTACCTTGGTTTAGATACAGCATCATAAAACTCTACAACAATAAATGGAAATTCACTTGGCTGAAAATTATTTTTCGCATAAATATAAACTTCCCACTAGTGGGGTTTTCCATGTGGTTTCTTCTTCCTTCAACGACTCCATGAAATTTATTATGCTCTTCATAAATACACTGTAGTGGTTAAATTATTAACAATCGTCATTTCCCTTGCCATGATAAACATGTCGTGCTTGTTTCATTTCCCCCCTAAATTGTTTAATGGACTTCAATCATTCATGTCGTATCAAATGTAAATCAAAGTTTAAAGTCAAAACTTTAAATCATGGTGAATCAAAACATTTGCGGAGCCCAACCCATTAATAACAGGTTTATAATTATTTATTATTTATTTGTTATTTGTTTAGTTAGTGTGTATACTACTTTAGTAGCGGGCATACAATAGACTTATGTGCAGGAAAATCAAACTTCACTCTACGCAATGATAGTCAAACTTGAAAACGCTTTTAGGCACAGTATATAATACTATAATATGCCATTTCGGCAGTATCAAAAATGCATACATTTGTACGTATGGGTGGTCCCCGGGATCGAACCACTCCTTGGCGTTACAAGCACCGTGCTCTCCCAGCTGAGCTACAGAGGACCCCACAGCGCCAATTTGCTCTCTCTGCCATGGGCATGTAACCCTGAGGTTATAGACTACATTTTCATCCTCTTTCCTTCCGAAGTATACATACGCAATAGCCTATTTATTAATAACCTTCCATTACTTTCGCCTCATTTTAAGGTATGAAATATGTTGATTAATTGCTTTGTAATGATTTTGGCAATTGCTAATCTGTAATGCCTGATCTAGTCAGGGGCATGGGCTGTAATTTCAGATCACGTTGATGCCATCGTTTATTGAAATCTTACAAACAAACCTTTAGTTACAATCCTTAATGTGGTAGCCAAGTTTCCCGATCCTCTGACGTGTCAGTAGTGACGACTTGTTTAGTTAGAACCGCCTCAAAAATACATTTTTATACACTTTATACTTAATTGTGTCTTCATTCACCAAAATGTATTCCATCTGTTGTCAATTAGAAATGATGGTCCCAGCCTTAGATGGTTTAGTTTATGGAATCAGTATAGTTTTGCAACTTCCTGTCACTACTGACGCTAGCAGGCTATACGCTACATCGACAGGATAACGGCCAGAACTCCCCGGTAAGACAAAGGGTGGCGGTCTCGTATATTTGAAACAACAGCTGGTGCAACAAAATCAAATACTACTGAAGTCTCGAGGTTTCTCGCACTGAGGTAGATATCTTAAGTATAAGCTGTAGACCACACTATTTACCAAGAGAGTTTTTCATCTATATTTTTCATAAGCTGGTCTATTTACGCAGGCAAGCCCCACAACCAATGCTGCATTAAGATTGACTGAAGAGTTTTACAAGGCACATTAATCAACAGGCAAAACGCTCATCCGGATGCACGCTCCTAGTAGCCGGAACTTTTAAGCAGGGAAGCCTAAATCCGTTCTACCTAATTTCTAACCACATGTGTAAATGTGCAACCCAGAGGGAAAAAACTCTAGACCACCTTTACTCCACATCACAGACGACCATACAGGAAGCTCGGGTCCCGCTCGCCCTCCATTTGGCACATCTGACGCATAACTCTATCCTCCTGATTCCGCTTATAAGCAAAAACTGAGCATGAAGCACCATGATTCGGTTAATAAAAAAGTGGTCAGATGAACTCGATTCTAAGCTACATGACTGTTTTGCTAGCAACGACTGGAACTGTTCGCGGATCTTCAGAACACATTGAGGAGTACACCACATCAGTCCGGCTTCATCAATAAGTGCAGGTCGATATGTCCGTCCGGCCACAAGTGACCGTAGGACGTCGCATACCCCAACCAGAATCGGCATGGGATTACGGAAACAATCCCACTTGAGCTAAAGGGTAGACTGGGCCGCTTTTCAAGGAACGGGACTCTAACCCGGACGCTTATAAGAAATCATCCCGCTATGACCTCTGACTAGCCATCAAACAGCAAAGCGTCAATACAGGTCTAAGTTGGGGGAATCATACTACACTGGGCGGTCTTACGCTCGTCGGATGATGGCGGGGGGGGTGCTTGAAACTATTTCAGACGTACAAAGGGAAAGCACAGCCCAGCGAGCTGCCCAGTGACACAAGCTACCAACGAGCTAAACCACGTGCCTATTGCCTCGCTTTCGGGGGGCAAGCAACACTGGAGGCATGCATGAGAGCACCAGCTGTTTTCCGGACGACTATGTGACCGCTCTCCGTAGGCGCTGTGAGTAAGACATTTTAAGTCAGGTCACTCACAAGGCCCGTCAGGCCGCCGGATTAACCAGGAACGTGTACTCCGAGCATGGCTGACCAAACTGGCAAGTGTCTGGTCACGGGGGGGGTGAATTTTTGCCACTGGTCCCTAGACTGAGTCTGTAATACCCAACATTTTCCAGCAGACCACCAATATCCCCCGGGTGCCCAAGAACTCTAAGATAAACCTGCCCTAATTACTACCGACCTGGCGGGTGCACTGAAAAAACGGGTCTGTATACATGACAATGCTTGAAAGACTTGGTGCGATGGGCTCAATCAAACGCATCATCCCAGAAACCCTAGCCCCACTACCAATTGGGGGGGGGGGGGACA